ACTTTTTATTGACTTTCCTATACATACAATGTATCAATCAATTAATCAATCACATTTAAGTTACAGACGAAAAATAATTTCTCAACACCACGTGACTATGTTGTATGCGTCATCTGCTGAGATATGCAACGCTGTACCTGACATTGTTAAAGTTTGTGTACCGAGTAACAAGTCGGTAAGTCTAAAATTCTAAGAAATCAAAAACTCGAAAAGTCTAAACGTGTAGGAAATCTGAAAGCTCTTAAAGCATAAGAAATCTCAAAACTCGAAAACTCTTCGAAATCTGTAAACTGTAAGATTCTAAGAAATCTAAAAGTTAAAAGTCAAAGACATCTAAAAGTCTATGTAACGTGGAAACTCGAAAAGTCTAGAAAATATTGAAACTGTAGTCTAAAGAAGAAAAGAAAAGAACCGAGTCTAAGAAATCGAAAAGTCTAAGAGTGAAAGACATCTGAAAGTGTATGAAATCGAAAATAACAAAAACTTGAAACTGAATTCTAAAAAAGTTCAAAAGTTTAACAAGTCGGTAAGCCTAAAATTCTAAGAAATCGATAAGTGTAAAAGCTAAGACATGTAAAAGTCTTTGAAATCTCAGTACTCTAAAAGTCTAAGTAAAAGAGAACTCTACGGGTCGGGTCTAAGAAATCTAAGACTGGAAGATTCTGAGAAGAGGAAAAGTCTAAGGTATGTAGCTTAAATATGTGCTGCTTTGTACCGTTAGCTCCATATAAACTTCGGCACTTAACGATAACTTCAAAGATTGCCAGTGTCGCGCGACATCTACCTTGTATACGAAAAGCAGTCTTTGTTACTATTACTCTTTTTCTATGCTAGGTATTTGATTCTGTTGTTTTTCTTTCATTGACAGTTCTTCTTCTTTATGCATTAATATGTTGCTTATGTGATTGGTGAGCCTATGTCAGCCAACTGCTATTCAATTTTTATCATTTCCATGTTTTGCAGACAGACAGAACGCAAAAGAGTTTCATAATAGCCTAGACTAAAGTCAAGAGAACATTATGCGCTTTATCTGTGAAATCACAGAAGTGCACAACATTTCTCAGCTATCCTGCCTACGAACGTGGACCGAAGGGAGGCGTGAGCATTGTCTTGAAGTTAGAAATATTTTTAGACCTGTGGGGATCTTTGGAAGGCCCTGAGAAAACCTTTTAGGTTTATATTAGATTACGAAGCTTACACATGAAATCAGACAAGAATTTATAACGTTTTCTAGATAGTCCTCTAGCGAACACCGACCGAAGGAGATGAGAGCGTTGTCTTGGATTCAGAAAAATGAATGGGCGTTCGTAGACATTTAGTTCCTAAAGTTAAGGGACCGAGCGAGTACAGACGAGCGTTCGTTGTCTTTCAGTAAATTTGATGAACGATTATCTCGACCGGATTTGACCTACTGAGCAAAATCGCCATTGCATTGCGCTTAAGTCTCTCACCATTATTTTGTTTTTGAGCGACAAGAAGTCATATACTCCACGTGATTAGTAAATACCAGAAAAGCACGAAAAAATATATAGTCGTTTTTGATTGGTCGAATTCAACCTGGTGCGCTGAAAGTTGCTGAAGAATTTCTCAGTACAGCTACATTCCACTTCCTCAGTAGCGTACCTTGATCATTAGTTGATAGTAAGTACGTATCTGATTGGTGTTCGTGGTAGCTTCACATTGATAAAGAAAGACAACTCACATCGTAACAACAGTGAATGGAAATAAACAGAAAATCCGAATCTTTATTGTTCATTTTGTGTTGATTATGATTTCGTTCAACATTCGAGCGATTTATCTTTTATACACATGTTTTTTTTAAATGATTCAAAGATTCGAATTCATCGTGACTATTTATTTGTTTTGATTTTTCGAACAGCTGATTTTCTATATTTCACCAATGTATTTACTCTCAAATTCTGAATAGAATTCTAGATAATGCTAAAACGAAACTGTGTTTATATCGTTACTCGGATTGTTTCAATGTGTCGAAGTTTTGATCGGACAGCATCATTCGTGTCGAGTACTGATTTGGCTACTCAAATGAAGCAATTGAATAAAAACCAAGAATTCAAGAAAGCCTTGTCTCTTTTTTTTAATCCACATCCTCAAACATCAGTGACAGACGTTGCTATCAATCAAGCGCTTAAAGCGTGTCTGAATCTGGGCTACTTTGAACAAGCTCGGTCGATTCACCAACGATTGTCATCTCGTTCACTCAATTGTCGACATATTCAAGTCTCACTACTTCAGCTCTATTGTGAGTCGTTCTTTCTCGATTTCAAGTCGACGATAATACTTGACTTTATTTTCCAGCACGGTGCAACGATATGACAAATGCACAACGTGTCTTCGAATCAGTTCGAAAGAACCAACGAACATCACATTTATACACAGCCATGATAAACGGTATTCGTTTCGTATTTTTGTTTCTCTTTTCAACAATTTGTTTCTTGATTAAATTGAGGAAGGTCTCGTATATAGTAATCGACTCGAAGATGCACTTAATCTTTTCGAGAAGATGACCGTCAAGCCAGACGCTATGCTTTTGACGATCGTTTTTGATATTTGTGGTCGATTGAGAAATGAACGAGGTCTTACAATTGGTCGCAACATGCTTTCTCAACTATCGTCGATTCACGACACCATTGTTCTAAATGCAGCTTTGCACATGTTCATGAGCTGTGCCGATACGACAACAGCCGAACAATTGTTCAATCGAATCAAAACAAAAGATATTGCGTCTTTCGGCGCAATGATGAAAGGATATAATATGAACAATGATTCATTCAAAGTTCTTACTCTTTTCGAACGGTTAATTGAAGACGAAATCGAGCCAGATATAATCACTTTTGTCTTGGTTATCAACGCGTGTGCTCAAATTGGAATGATTTCATGTTGTCGATCGGTCATTTCTCGAATTCCGAAACAATTTCTTCTCGACAAATATTGTCAAAATGCTTTGATCGATATGTGGGTAAGTATTGTTTATCTCTATTATATCATTGATTTTGAATCTTGTCTTTAAAGGGCAAAGCTGGTTCACTCGAAGAAGCACAACGTATTTTCCAAACAATCGATAAACCCGATGTTGTGTCTTTCGGCGCAATGAGTAACTTCTTTGTAGAAGCACATTTTGTTTTTTGTATTAAATTAGTGTTTTTCTTTCCTTAAGTCAATGCATTCGGTTTAAATGGAATGGGTTCATCGGCTGTTGATCTGTACCGACGAATGCCTGTTGATATGCGCAACGAAATCATCCATATTTGTGTATTGAATGCGTGCTCTCATTCGGGACTCATCGAAGAAGCTCGTTCGATATTTCGCGATCTTTCTCCAAAAACAACGAAAATAACCACCGCAATGGTTTGTTCTTTCTCGAGAAACAGCCTTCGATTCTGTTTTGTTTTTTGCTCAGGTTGATTGTATGAGCCGTATGCGCATATTTGACGAAGCTCAGAAGTTGATCGATGATTTTGAACAATTCAACGATCCCTATCCGGTAATGTACTGTACGTTGACGACTATTTTATTTAATCAATAATCCCAGTCAACGTTTATGTTTATTTCAGTGGCCATTATGTCCGGAGCTCGTAATCAGCGCAATTCCGATTTGTCGAAGAAGTTCTTTGACAGGATAAAAACTCGTTTTCCTGATTTCAAAGAATGTTTCGCTTCAGCATCGGTTCTTTTGGCGAACACATATTCGTTGGTCGGCGAACACGTTAAGTCTTTGGAAATTAGAAAACAACTCTCGCAATCAGGAATCAAAAAACAAATCGGACGATCGTGGACATTCATCAATAATCAACTTGTGGTCAGTGTGAAAACGATCACTTTTTTCTAACACGAAATCATATCCATCATTTGACAATAGTTCGAATTTTTGAAAGTTTCATCTTTTCACCGAGACAACCTCCTGTTTAACTCAAGCTTTTCACGAGCACCTACTATCCATTCAAAATAGATTGGAGTTGATTGTATTGAGAATAATTCGAGAATGGAACTAGCTAGCGATCTGCGACTTTCACCATTCGAAAGACGCCAGCTGACTGTATCGGTTCACGCTAAGACTTATGGTCAAGCTGTAGTCAGTATCGATCAGTTCCCAGTGGACATTTTCAGAACGATACCCTGAACTATTTCCTCATCAGAGATTTTAAGTTCGAAGGTGGTCACTTAATAGAACAAACAGAGCTCTATCGATATGCGGAAGGCCGGCAATTCTACCTTGTTCCGTTTGGAAGTTATGAGCATTTTCCTCAGAGTCCCGAAATCGGCCAACTGGTCACTCTCAGCTAGGTTGCCATAGATAATCTCGACCATACTGAGTCGAACCGTGATGTTTCTTTTCAGTTTTAAAGCGACATGAAGTTTATAAGTAAAGATAATGGAAGTCCTTTGTTCTGCTATTAACGGACTTCATTAAAACGGATATTTTTCTAATTTTGCCTTATGAACTTCATGTCGCTTTAAAACTGAAAAGAAACATCACGGTTCGACTTAGTATGGTCGAGATTATCTATGGCAACCTAGCTGAGAGTGACCAGTATGCCAGTTGGCCGATTTCGGGGCTCTGAGGAAAATGCTCATAACCTCCAAACGGAACAAGGTAGAATTGTCGGCCTTCCGCACATCGATAGAGCTCTATTTGTCCTATCAAGTGACTACTTTTAGACTTCCGATCTTGATTATTCGACGCTACCTCGTGTGGAATATTAATTTCCCTTTTAAACTTTATTGAAAACATTTCTCTTCTGAGCGAATTTTTAATCCAAAAAGTAAACCAGATTTTAACACAGTCAACCGGAAAATTTTGATAGTTCTAAGTGACCTTTTGTTCAAATATTAAAAAGAATGAAGATGAGAGAAACGATGTATTCAAAGAATAATTAATTGAACTTGCGCCAATAACCGAATATGAGATTAATGTTGTGAGTTATGGAATGATGGAGTTGAATCCAAAACAAGAAATGATCTCATCTAATAAGACGTGTTATAGTGACACGTTCTCGATTTAAGAGAAAGTTTGACAAAAACGAATTTGAATGTTTATAATAATTGGAAATGATTTAAACCATTCACAATGAATTGATTTTGTGGAACTCAGCGACATCTCATCATAATCGAACGGTTTTTCTATTTAGGAATTCCGAGCTCATGATCGATCTAATCCCCAATCGGCCGAGATCTATGCCGAACTGGATCGAATATCGAAAGAACTGATTGTGAATGGACATCACTATGATTCAAGTTGGATCACACGACAACTTAAAAAAGACGAGACGACCGAATCTGTTCTTTGTGGACACAGCGAAAAGTTGGCGATCGCCTTTAATTTCATCCAGAAGCCGATTCCGTCGCCTATTCAAATCACGAAGAATCTTCGTGTTTGTGGTGATTGCCGTAAGTCTTCATTTTTTGAGTTTCAAATGAGTTTCAAATCTTGTTTGTAGACGCCGCCACAAAACTGCTCGCACGAATTCGTCAGTGCACGATTATCGTTCGTGATGCCAACCGAATCCATCATTTTCATCCGAATGGACAATGCTCGTGTGAAGACTTTTTTTAAATTCATTTTTTTTTCACGTTACTCATTTTCAAGTAAAATTCAGTAAAAACAAAAGTTTCGCTTTTCAGTTGCTCCATTCTCAAACATGCTCAATTCAAATTGGTTTTCAAACAGTCGAACGAAATCTGGACGAGGCCTTATCATTGAATTATTGAATTATCTCATTTCAGTTATTTATCGCTGACAGTTTTCAATTGAATATTGGATAAAACAAGGAACTAATGACAAAGACAAATGACTAAAAGCCCTTCGCCTATTAGAAATTCTGTCAATGATACCACAATTCAGTTATATGTTCGATTTTCTCTTCGTTGAACATCACTGGTATTTCTATAAGTTTTTTTCCAATATCTATACTGGATTCCATCGAAGTATGTATAGTTGGTTTAATTATGATTAGTTTGCTGCATGAATATTATTTTTAGTTTGCTCTAGTTTGGAGAACGGCGCAATTGGTTCATTATCGAGTTTGGATAATCCTAAAGCTCATCCACTCGAATCATTTATGAATCGTTTGCGAATACCAATGATTTCGTTAGATTATTTCGATTATAATAAACAATTTGATGGCGTTAAGAATTTTCATTTTTCAATAAAAACTAATCTCTTACAAACTCTTGCAGCATTTATTAAGCGCTATAAAGTTAATAGATTATATTATGTTGTCGAAGAAGAGGAAGGTGTAATTAATATTCTCATCGGAATACACTTTTGCTTTTTAAATCTAAAATATGTTTTTGTGATATAAAATAGCAAACGTTCAACTCAACGCATATTTATCGACAAATAATTTGAATAAGCGTGCGGTTTTTTAAAATGCACGGGTATTCATTAGACTGTTAATATAACTCTCGAACAAGAAATATTTATTACTGTAAAAAGTTTGTTATTAAGTGATTTAAAGTAGGACATGTATTCCTAGAATCTACTAAACTCATCGAAGCCTTTCTCCTCAAAAGATAATTAATTAAAACGTATAATTTATTTTAATTTAATTTAGTTGTTGCTTCAGAATAGGTTCCTGTGCACTCTTGTGTGAATATTGAGATCATTTTCGAAACGTTTAAAATATGTAAACGGTGAAAACAAACTTTTTGTTGTTCGGGTGACGATGTTGGAGGAGAATGTAGCTGTCGATGTTAATATGGAGAATTTCCTGCGCAATTACATACTTGGTTTTAAATACTGTTCAACATAGTCACCTAGATTATATAATTTTAACTCATTTCGTTGAAATCCCCGTCGAAATTCAAGCTCTTTCGATTGCCCATAAGAGAAGAAAATATAAGAAAACGAGAATACAAATTTGATTATTAAGGCAATAAAAAATCAACAGGTATTTACACAATCATTTAAACGACCTTTCACTTCCACATTGTTTCCGTAGCTACTGTAAATAAAACTGAGACAAAAAACGCTGTTAAAGGCTCTCTAGAAATCTCCCATATATCTCATTAAACAACTGCGAATAGTCAGATCACTTTTCTAACATATTGAGAACGAAAACGGTAATAACAGTCAGATTATATATTTTTTATCATGAACGATGTTTCATTTTGCATGTTCGTTTACATTCTTTTATTTCTGTTACTTTTTCACACGACAAAAACAACAGCAGCATTAAGAAAGAGGAAAAGCGAATATGTGTGAGACTTTATTCTCTCCATAAATAAAACAACAACTAAACAAAAACAAAACTGTGATCATTGAATTTATTTTTATCGAATTTTCACGTTGTAAAATAACCGAGATTTTCATCCAGAACTGAACATCGAGAATAAAATTTTCAAAATATACATTAATCGACTCATTTTTGATCCTGATTCCGAATATGATATTTTTATTGCATAAAAATTTGATTCGACTAATTTTTTTCTGAGAGTGGTTGTAAGGTCTAGTAAGTACGTAGAAATATTCCCCTCTTCATTCTACATCTAGCCTTTGATCAGTCAAGGAAATTTAGGCATGGGCCGATTTCATCAGATAATCGTCCCTGTCCTTTTTATTTAAAATCAATATTTCAAAGTGGAAAAGAAAACGTAGAAAGTGTTCCTATATACATTTTGTCGAGCAGACAATTCTCCACGGAAACAGATAAATAATTGTATAAGTTACGCTGTCTGGTTAAAACTTATAAAGAAAATCGCCAGTAGCGCCTGAAAAATCATCCGAAGTGATAAAAATTCTTCTTTACTTGTGGTACAAGTACTTTTTCAATAAAATAACTTATCTACATGAAAAATTGATTGTAGCTATATTTTTAGCCGAGAATTTTTAGGCTAAAAAGTTTTTTTTTTTACTCTTTTCAGTTGGGCAAGTACTATTCGTAAAAATGAATTGATTTTGTCTCGTATGTCTATACGAAGAAGAGATGGAAACGATTTTCTAATTTGCTTCGACATTGGCAACAGAGACATTCTGCTTTACATAGTCGTTGCAAAATCAGTAGTAAGAAAAGAGGATTATTTTTATCAATCCCGAGAGATCAGAATGCCGAATATGGAAGTACTACGTAGTTTTCAATCTTCTGGGGTTAGTATAAATCCTTCAGATGGTAGATGAACACATTAAGGTTTTAAAAACGTTTTGGTGCTTTTGTTCGATTGTTCTATAGGTCATATTGAAAATCAAACGATTCCAATTGTTTTACCGTGCTCAACAGACGATAAAGAACGTTTGAAACAGTCTGATTCATCGATACTTGCATTATATTACAATGGAACAGCTGTGGCTATTATACAAAAACCAGAATATTATGAACATCGTAAAGAAGAACGGTGTTGCCGTATTTTTGGCATTTGTGATCGTGAACACCCACATATTAAAGTACGGAATTTTTACCTTTTCTCTATCTGCAGACAAAATCCAACTCTACTATTTCAGATGATTATGGACAGTGGTGATTGGTTGATCGGAGGTGAATTAAAAGTATTTGAACGTGTACGTTGGAATGATGGCTTAGATCATTTTCGTTTAACACCCAATCAATTGAGACAACGTTTCTATGAAATTAAAGTAAGTACAATAAAGAATCTAATCGTGGATGTCACTTTTTCTCGCTTCTGAATCTCAAGGGTGATCCAGTATTTGCCTTTCAATTACGTAATCGTGTTCATAATGGACATGCATTATTGATGCAAAAACAAGACAATCACTGTTGGATAAAGGATTTAAAAATCCTATTTTACTGCTTCATCCATTAGGTAAGTTTAATCAAAAATTCTTTTTTGTCTTGAAAATGATTTCATTCTAAGAATGATAACCAGACGGTAGAAATAATTATTTTTTCTTAAAAAATGCTATGTTCTTCTCTTATTATTTGTTAACCTAGGCGGTTGGCCGTTCGAATTGCTCAGTACCAACCGGTTTTAGATGATGATGACAATGTGCTTGATCGAAACAAAACTGTTTTAGCCATATTTCCATCGCCCATGTTATACGCCGGTCCACGGGAAGTACAATGGCATGCAAAAGCTAGAACGACAGCCGGAGTCAGTTTTTATATTGTTGGAAGGGATCCAGGTATGTCAAATCTAATTTTTCGTGTAGCTCCTTCACACGTGTCTGAAAAAGTAGTAATGTATAGTTATGTTTCATCGTCTGACTGAAACTAAATGCCTCGTCAAAAAAATGCACCATCTGTAGTATTTTCAATTTTTTGAAGCCAAATGAAGTTTAATAGTTTCGCAAAACATCTCGCTCGTAGATGTAGCTTGTAGCCGAAAAAACGAAAGACGAGACCTAATAATTTCAATTTATCACCATGAAGATGTTAGTTTGAATCATGCGATATTTGTAATTAGTGTCAAAAACTGATTTCGATGATTTTCTGTACAAAAACGTTTTTCCGAATTCTTTCCCATGGGTCTAACATTTCCAACAAATGTGTTTTGCTCACAAATGCGTTCCTATCGGATATTTTGGATGCTTTAATGTGCATTAAATAAAATTAAAATATTGCATGCGAGATAGTAGATTAAATCGTTATACATTATAATACATCAATTTGACCTTCAAAGTGTTTTTTGGGGGCCAAAAGTGTGCTTTTTCGAGATCTTACCTATAGTTTCTCTGCAGAGAAGTCTCTTGGAGCGAAAATGTGAGTGTAGAAGTTGTTTTCTACGGGATAATTTCTTAAGGTCAACCTTTGATACTGAAAAGACTGAGACGCTTTACTCAATTTTTTTATACTACTCTTTTCTTCTGAGCCAGAAGGTAGTTTTCAGAAAATCTTCAACTCATAGACACTTTCACATACAAAATCGAATGTCAAAAACTGAAAAAAATAAAGAGTTTTGCTAACTCTTCGCACTCTTTCTGTCTCATTTTTATTTTTAATTATCGCAAGGCAAGTGATATACTGTTCGAAAGAGCGCACTTTGGTCTATCTACACAAATAATAAGATATAGGTGATGAAATCTCACTTCACAGCAGGCGCGGACACTTCTCTTATTACTTATGCACCGTAGGTTACTTAGATCATACGGAAATTCTTTATTTTTTTGAATACGGTCATCACTCAAAAAAGTAACGGTTCGAAAAATCGTAAAGTTTTCGGAAAAACGGTTTTTTCACTATCGAAATCCTACCATTTGCAACGCTCGTTGTTAGCATCAAACAGATCGATCGAAGTCTATTTGACCAGTTGGCTGTACACCAACTATTTTTATTTTCGAAAATACAAAAGAACATTCAGCCCTTGCAAATCCTCCCGACTCAAAATCCTGCCATAAATCCTGCCATATTTTACTAAAAAATAGCAAAAGGACATGTCTTTATTTCCTTCTTGGCTGCTGACGATCGGCTTGAACAACCGTGAAACGCGTACAGTCATGCTCGTTTTTCTTTCTTCTTGTTTTCTACATTCAGCAAATGTACTTGGCTGGTTGAATTAATACTCACAGCCATCTTCTCTGCCTCCTCACCCAGCACACACAGTTTTACTTGTTCATCTGTATATTTGCAGAGACATTGTTCTCTCTTCGTTCGATTTCATACTCACTGAAATATTTCAACTGTTTCGCAATGTCTGTTTGTTTCAGATGAACAACAACACACATCTATGCTGCCGATATTAGTTATGAGCTGAAATTCTGACAGTCGGCAGATTATGAAATTCTTGAAATTCATGAGATTCTGAAATTCTAGAAATTCATCAGACCTTACAAAAATTATGTACCTGATCGTGTTCTATAAATTTCCTCTAAACCCTCTTAAAAAAGTATCTTTCTCTATTCATAATATTTTCTAGCATAGGTAGGACACAAACGTCCTTAGGATCGAGTCTATAACCACGTTCCTTATAGCCATATGCTTTACTTGCGCTCAGGTGATGTGTGAAGCCGAAGAAAGAAAAAAATTTCAAGTTTTGCCATAACAACTATGTTACATATATATATACTCAATATCATAGCAAAATTCATGTGATAAGAATGAGTCCTCGCTTCTTGCAAGATTATATAAGATCTTGTAACAAGAAATCGTATGATCTTGTGATAAGAAATGAATATAAGTCATGCCTCTCAATGACAAGATTTTGTAAGATCTTGTCACGTCTTATGAGCTGATCTTGTAAGGTCCTATGACAAGAAGTTACAAGATTTCGCAGGATCTTTCAGCATCCTACGACAATATCCTGTAAGTTCATCCAGTAAGATCTTGTTACAAGATTTCATAAGAAAACGACAGATCTTGTATGATCTTGTAAGATGAATTTTATTCACCTGGGTAGCAAAATTTAGCGAAATCAGAGTATTTCTTGAGCTGCAAATATCAAGATTGAAGCATACTCTGGCACGTAGAAATATGTCAAAAAAGCGCTTTTCCGACGCGCGCATACCCGTGGGTACGACAGCAACAACGAAAGATAATGATTCATTAGACATGGGATTCCGATTCATTAAAACGCCTGAATTGGCACATAAGTAAACCCTTGAGCAAGAAGCAATTGTTTGAGATTCTTTTCTCAGTCCTAATTACACCATGTTTTACTGGGACTTTTCTTCGAGAACATGATGTATTCGATGAAAATAAGGACTGTAGTCCCCATGAAACAGATAATTTTTGTCGCTCCTCATAAATTCCTCTGCCTCGAGATTGTTGAGTCTGAATCAATAACAACATCAACTACCTGCATGTAGGAAATTCTTAGTTTTGAAGAATTATCTGAGAAAGAAGATTTTTCTCAACCCCGCTGGTCGCTCACTTTACATGGTGGTTAATTACTCCTTATTTTATTTTCAAAAATGTTTCAGTTGTGCTTAGCGTGATTTGTTCCATTGTGATTTATCACTACTTTGTGTTTTATGTGTTGAATAGAATAAGATAGTTTCGTGTTTATTTTTACCTAATAAAATTCTGTGTTATTCCTTTATTTAGCCGGTATTGGTCATCCTCGAATAAAGTCGAAAGATTTATATGATCCAACATATGGTTCAAAAGTATTAACAATGGCACTCGGACTCCATAGATTAGAAATCCTAGCATTCCGAGTGGCTGCCTATAATAAAATAGAAAAGAAAATGGATTTTTACGATCCATTAAAACATGATCAATATGATTTTATTTCGGGTACAAAAATGCGACAGATAGCACGAATGGGAGCATTGCCACCCGATGGATTCATGGTTCAATCTGCATGGAATGTCTTAGCATCGTATTATAATAACTTACAGTCTGAGAAAAACAAATGTAACTGAGTCCAGTTATGTATATTTGAAAAGGAATTCTTTTTGCTCTTGTCATCTATTTATAATCCAGTCACTAGTTTAAACATAATTCATCGTTCGATATAAAATATCAAATGATTCATTCTCTGGCTTCTCTCTACACTATCTCTCAGGTATCGAACAGAATCAGTAAGGTCATCTCATCCTTAAAATTTATCTGAATCGTACCTTTTTAAAGGAGAAATCCTTTAGCTTCGAAATCAAACGTCTTGCGTTTTGAAGATAATGGCGATGGGACTAGAATCAAACTGTCTTCGTGGTCTTTATCTCCAAAATGCAAAACGTCTGTTTTTAAAGGTAAAGGATTTCTCTTTAAAAAGGTACGATTCAGTCAAATTTTAATGAAGAGATTTCTAAATTCCGATTCTAATTGAGACCAAAAATGATCTGCTTAATTCAACTTCTCATACGCCGTGTGCTACCGACATTAGTCGTGGACGCTCTTCTATAGCTATTCCAAGAGTTATGAATACTGCATCGATTAATAGCTGGATGTTTCTTATTTTCAGATATTGAAACATCGTCGTTTTTATATATTTCCTTTTCGTTCTGTATTTTTCATTCATCACCGCTTCAATTACGAAGAATCATCAGCTATAATCCGTATCAGTTTGATTATACATTTTCACATCTTCCTTAATAACCAACTGGAATCACAATATCCTTTGATGTACATAAGTTTGTGGCTTTACTACATTTCTTCAGCGTGAATTTGTTTTGAGCTTTTCTAAGTAGAAAGGTGTTCATCTGTCTACTTGGGTAATAGTCAGATTTTTTCTTTGCACAATTGCGAATGAGCAAACTCCTTTTTTGCTCAAATAGAGAGTTTTTGAAACTTTGCTGTGCAGAGCTTGGAGACTTCTCATTATTTAGAATTTTGCGGGCTGTCGAACTGTGTATTTTCATGGAGTTGTATGACATCCACGTGGATTTTTGTGGGTTTCTTAACCTTTATCGACGCCTAAGAGTCATTGTATGCCAGTATATAGTAGACATTGAGTACTATATACGCTGAAAAAATCTTGATCCTATCTCTTTGCGTTCTCGAAATATATCGATTTTATGTTTTTTATCCATTTATTTTCTCGAACGATGTCGTTTGCAAAACATTCTCGCATCTACAGAACGAATAGATCAGCAAAGCTAAAAACTTGGATTTATAGGTTTTCGAGTATGCTCTACAACATGAGAATAGTTACGGCCAAAAAATTGATTGAGCATGCTTCTGCGACAAACAGGCGTTTTTCTCATGCACTGACTCCTAAACGTCGTGCCGGCGGCCATTTATTGAATAATTCAAAAATGAAAAGAGAGGGAGCCCTACGGCTTTCACCATTGTGCAGTCAAGACCCTAGTGATGTGTGATTTCTTAGAAACCTCACAACTGCTTTAGCATAAAATGGGATAAGCTCAGAAATATAAGAAAACATTGATTATCAACCTCGTGACACACAGTGGGCAATTTTGACTAAGCAGGTGGACATGAGGTTTGAAAGCAGTCCAAACGTATCTAAACCCTTTTTCTATAGGTTTTCTACGACGCTCTTTCCAACCTAATGGTTTTCAAGTTTTAAAATAGTTTCCCAAGGACTTTTCCAGAGACCGGATCTCTCCAAACCACTTCAAAAACTTTATCAGAATTCAAAAACCATTCCATTGGAAAGAGCACCGCTGAAGACCTATAAAAAAATATTTTAGAGGCGTTCATGATTTTAAATCTTGACTTTTAAATTTTCGGGCAAAAAATTCTACGTGCCGATCCCAAAATGTAAGAATTCGATAAGATTTAAAAGTATATGTCCAAAACCCAATGAATTATACGTCATTCGATGCAGTTTTTTACGCTGATTCCGAATATGTCCTTATTTTTTCAATTAGGGTATCATAAAATGCAAAAGATCTCGAAAAACCTCTGAAAACTGACGTTTTTTGTAAAATCTGCAACACCGCTAAGAAGCATTTGCGCATGATCAATGAAAAAAATAAACAATTCTTCCGCCAAAAACCGGCTAATTCCAAAAAATTTTATGAGTCGATAGCCTAACTCACCCTCTTCCACAATATATCAGTTTTATGTTTTTATGTTTGCATTCTTCCACCGTAAAAGAACGTTTTTTCCGATGAAATGCGCAAAAACTACTAAAAATCACGACTTACTTTTCTCGGCGAAATTAAGTACTTGGATCAAAATTGTTTCACCACTAAATGGGGCTTTTTGTAGTGCACATTGGTCACTAATTGAATCCTGGAAAAACTCACTTTCGTTTTTCCCTTAATGTCCACGTTGCTGCACACTGTGTGGCATAGGTTATTTTTTCGAAAAAATTCAAATCCAGATCATATGAAAGCTGCAGTATATTCATCAATCTGTTTGCCAGGCATGATTCTAGCGGTAAAATGAATGAAAAGTGTTCAGACTATAAGAAGATTTCTGGAGAACCTTTCTGGAAATCTCAGTAGTTATTTTGCCAACTTTTTAATACTCTGCAAAATTCGTTATGTAGGATAGATGAGATAATGTATACTCTGAAGTTTCATGTGATTTGGATTGAATTTAAGTGAATTTTTTTATTTTCATGCAGAAATAGCTCATGCAAAAGTAGCTCTTCCAGCTAGTGATCACTCTTGTCATTAGCTTTTCGAATTTTTTCTGAAAAGTAAACTATGATATGAGATTGAGCGTGGCACGGACAAAACTAGTCGCGCCTAGTTAAAGATAATCAATTAAAGATAATCAATATCCAATAGAACTAACAATCATCAAAGCGATAAATCGTCAGTGTAATATAAACTTGACATATGGTCGCTATTCAACGTACAACAATAAAAAGAGTTATTTACTCTATGCGAATTCGTCAAGCCAATACGATTCGTTAAAAGATCTGAGTAAATGGCCGCAAAAAATATGTGATCTTGAATATGAATTAGACATGCCCAATAAGACTCCAACGTGCTATTCTATTGTGGTATTAAATGTTCCACCGCAATGGGATGTCTATCAGCTTGAAAACGATTTCAAAATGCAACATTCAACTGTAGTAAAAGTTGAGCGGTTATTCATTAATGGTGGAAAACCAATATCAAAGGTACGTGTCGATTTTTCGGATAGTCGGGAGGTAACTGGAATTTTAAAACAAAAGAAAATCTTATTAGACGAAAATAGCACAGCTTATCCAGTTGAACTGTATATCCCACCAATGAGAGTTTTACGATGTTACAATTGTCAAAAATATAATGATCATATAGCAGCAAATTGCCCTGATTTAGACAATCCTGTCTGTTTTAAATGTGGACAGAGCCACCCTTTCAGTCCAAAATGTACAAATCAAATCTGCTGCGCTCATTGCCAGGGACCGCATATGTCGGGGAGTCCACAATGTCCGGTCAAGGCAGCAGAACGAAAAAAATGTAATGACGAAACAAAAAAGAAGAATAACAATAATACAAATGTGCGTGCTCAGCAACAGTTTGGGACAAATCCATGGACAAACCACTCAAATAATGTCTTATACGGACAATCGCAAGCGACAACAACGAATAGTTTTATTGAGAAACTACATGATGCTATGCCAACGATAATTGTACAACAAAAAGAATTAGACGCTAAAAAGGAAAATAAATTCTCAACATTAGCTCAAGAATTTGACGAATATTTTATGCCTCATTGTACTCCTGACTCCATGATGAGTCTCCAACGTTGAGATAAAGACGTTGAGATAATGACGTTGAGAGATTGCCAACGTTGAGATAAAGATATAAAATTAATTCTTTACGTTCTATGATTACTTTCACGTTTAGGACTTATTTGGAAACGTTGATGAAGAACATAAACAAGTGGATTCATCAAATTCTCATTACGAAGACAATATGGATTCATACACTAACTCTTTTTTTTTAAATTTAATTTCATGAACAGTCGCGGCTACGCATATTTTTTAAATCGCTAAAGTAAAGCTAGTCATTTTTATTTTTTTGAAGATATGAAACGAATATTTTATGAGGATAAATTATTTAATCTATTGGTTATTTGATGCTTGCTTTATTTATACTCTATTTGTTATGACGATGTTTCGTAGTGTTACACAAAAGCCAAGTCAAATAAATTTACTTTCCCAGCAACAACAAGCCCCAGTTCAAACCGATTGATTAGTTCAAGCTTATATAACATTTTTGAGTGTATTTCCAACACGTTTACTTCCGTTAATTAATTTATTACGTATTCCTTCTCCGTCATTGATAAAACCATAACAAAAACTCCAGCAAGATAACCAAAATCAACAAAACAACATCGGTAATTTATTAGTAAACCATTGAATTCGTTGCGTTTGAATATGGTCAAATTATTTAAAGGCAAGAAAACGAATATTATGATCCAAGAACGGCATTAACTTAGACTGAACGGGCAGACCAGAGTGCCTCAGTTTTATCGTATTGTAACGGCTGAAGTGCCAATAAGGAATAAAATTCAAGATAATCGAAGAAAACGGCAAGTCTTTTTTCTAGATCAATGCATTGTTCGGTGTAAATAACCCCAATACGTCCTGTCATAACCGCAGCCAGGTCGTCAGGAAAAAAGAAGGCAAGAGACATTTTTAAGATGTCACCCATGTCAGAGTGATAAGCGATAAATAAAGTTGGTGTAATAATAGATCCTTGGGGACCACCTCTGAAGATTGAAAACAACCGTGACCTGTATCCATCAATTTCAATAAAGGCTTTTCTATCTATCAACCACGCTCTTATCCAATTTACATACGCCTTCGGGATACCTAATCTCAGAAGCTTGCCGAGGCATCTCGCAAACCACAACTGATCAAAAGCACTCTTAGAGACCTCTTTCGCGATGGATAGAACCATTCATCTAGGTCATTAACGGTAATATTAATAAATTTCTACAGACCGAAGTTTGCATTTGTTTTAATAGAAATTAGGCTACGATAATAAATAAACTTTGCTTTACAAGCACTAGTAGAATGTGTGAAATCATTTATGGAAAACTACTATTTGTACGCGACAATCAGATTGAAGTAAATTTGAAAAGAATTGATTTGATACAGGTTCGTTACTTTCTCCTACATCAAAATAAATTTTTAAATTTAATAATTGTTTAAACAATTTTAAATATGATAAATATTTTCCATCCTTCTTAACTCGAGTTATGAAAACTGATTCAAGATTCGGATATATTTTTGAATATAACGATAATGGAAAAACGTTGTCAAGATTTTTATCATCAATCTTAATTGCTTTGATATAATGTTGAATTTTTGGTAAAATTGTTTGAAAATGTTTGTTCAACGCACATTCATCAACATCGGATAAATCTATTGCACATAAAAATGGATAAACCAGATTAGTAAACCGATCATTTAAATTGTAAAACGAATAAATAATATCAATAGATTTTAAATAGATAAAAATGAAATCATACAATTCATTCGGTAGGCTTGATTCTAATGTTGATATCTTCTAGAGCAAGAATATCATTATGTGCTAGATAAAAAAAAAAATTAGTCTCTCTTCAAAAAATTGGAAAAACGAAGTAGATCATCTTGATAAATCACTCATAACTACTGCGAACGAAAATCCATTCTTTTACAGTTGTAGGATGTTCCTTATATTTGATAAAACAAGTTGATTTCTTAATCTTGCTTTCAGAAATGAAGATTTCAGTACAGTTACGAATTGTGATAAGTAATATTTTCATCTGGAATTCATGTGATCTGCTAAGACCAAGAAAATCCCTTTGGTACAGAGCAACAGACTCATAATTTCGAAGGGAAGGCGGATCTAGCGTGTTCTTTTCCATCATTCTATACACTTGAATTATAATGAGAATTATTATGAAAGAAACACCTAGGTAAGTGTTTGTGCTCATTAAAACTCTAGCTAATCATCTTACTTCCGAGTGGATTATCCAGGAATTGCTCCACTAACGTGCGATTACATGCGCTTTCTAGATTCTTTAAGGAATTTTCTTCTGCCATGAACTTGTATTTGCAAATCTCGTGAAATTTAAAGTTCTTCTAATAGATATTAAAATTAAAACTTTTCCAAGGGGTAATTAAAATGCGCACGTCGTGCTTTTGTTCAGTATTTGAATTAAAAAGCGCACGTCGTGCTTTTGTTCAGTATTTAAATTAAAAAAGTGTAATTTAGAAATAAAAATCTTTACAGTTTGCCTGCTCGGTAGAGAGTAATTGCGACTAGAATGAAGATCTGTCCGACTTCTTTCGGTTTTTTGTGTCTTCACACGAGAAATGAAAATGCAATGAAACTTAAAATTGTTCCAGTAGATGTTAAAACTTTAATTTTTCCTGAAGGAAGTTAAAATGTACACATTCACAAAGACGAAAGCTCAATCATTCGGAACTTGGAGTTTAAGTATTCTGAAGAGTACACGATATTAATGGACATCAGGTAAAGTATATGAAGAGTGACTTCATGTTCAGAAGCCTATATTTGATTGGAATACAGGTCACAGCCTGCTCACAGGTTGTGATTTTCGAATTCGCAATCATCATTCATATTATTCATCTAATCTTTCTGAACATCGTGTACTCTTCAGAAAACTAAAAGTTTGAGCTCAAAAGTCGAATAATTGAGTTTTCCTATTTGTGAATGTGTAGATGTTAACTTTCAGTTGAAAAATTAAAATTTTAATGTCTGTTTTTTTAGTTTTAATTTTAATTTTCACTGCATTTTCATTTCTCGTGCAACTTCGACAGTGCTTTCATTATTTAAGATCTAGAAAAGAGATGTGATGAATAAACGAATTTGTACAATTCTTCGTGTTTGGAGGAAGAAATGTTCATACATACCATTAATGATTGGGAACAGAAGTCGGTCATAGTGTATAGTCAATAATATATTATGAATAAAACCATAAATAAAATATTGTTTAGTAGGAAGAGAAGCAAAAACACGACGTCAGCCCTATTTTCTTTCGTTCTATTCATATTTATAGACAGTGCTTACCTTAATGACAGTTTCTGAACAGGCGATCAATGCTGCCTTTTGTAATAAAACTGTATATCAATAGAATGAGAAAATCCGAAAAATAAGTAAGAGGTACGTCAACAACAAAATAAGCAAAGAGAAATTCATCGACGAGTATAATGAAAACAGTAGCTCATTTTCTCTCTTTTTTTCTACCATATAACGTAAATATCACCCAAGTAGCGACAAAAAGAAAAGATTTGCTCGGTATAGCCGTATCGAAAAGAAAAAAGAAATTAGAGCGGACGACCGTAATCAGATCACGAAAAATTTGAGGTTGACTATTGAAAATATTTCATCTGATGTTTATAAACATCGTGTACTCTTCAGAAAACTAAAAGTTTGAACTCAAAAGCTGAATAATTGAGCTTTCATATTTGTGAATGTGTGGATGTTAACTTCCTCTAAGAAGAATTAAACTCTAGTGAATGTAAGGTATCACAAAGTATCTGCTTGCCTTATACTATAAGTTTTTTGTTCTAAACTTTTTTGTGAATTTGTGTACCCTGCACTTTTGCGAAATAAAGACTTAGACTTGGACTAATGTACTAGAGACCTAAAATCTGATTGTACTGGAGACATAAAAAAATTTCTACGATATCAACTTATATGTACATGAAGAATTTGTGATAATGTGATTATAATTAAAAATAAGAAAAGTAGGTGAAATATCTCATCTTAATAAATTTGTACTCAATGGTTCATGAGAATAATGGTAGAGCCGCGTAGATGATAATGATATAAGAGGTTGTAATTGTTGTTCATTTTCTTCATCTTGGAGTGTGACTGTGTTAGATGATGTCCGAAGCAAAAAAGCGATGTAAAGCAAATTATTACGAAATAATAAATATTTGGACCGATTGAGCAATGTCAACAATCAACCGACCTTCTGATCAACCGATTGAGTCGGTAATGGTAATAAAATTATTTTTACCAAACTTTCATTTTTAACACCGGTTATTTGAATTTTTGACTGTAGTCATCGGTAATTTACCGTCGATAACGGTAAAAAAGGTTTTTACCGACGTTTACCGCGGTGAAATTCGAAGAGTTTTTACCGGTTTGATATTACCGTGGTAAAAATCTGAAGTTGTTACCGAAGCGTCGGTAACTGTAACACGTTTTTACCGTTACCGCTCATCCCTACTTTTAAGTGAAAAGTGGTTATGGTGAATCATACAATCAATAATTTATTTTACAGATATATCAATTCATATATCAACATATTCTACTCTCCGTTTCAAAATGGTTGGCACTCGGTTGCTTTTTGAATAACTTTTGATAGGAATGAGATAGAGACCTGCGATTTTCGCTGTTCAATAGCCAAGACTTGAGCAGAACTTTTCACAAGCGGAAGCAACTTTTGAAAAAATTCCAGAGACCGGGTTTC